AGGAGAGTTGCTGCTTACTTTAGATAGGAGATCAGAAAACTTGTGTTGGTAACTTTGCCGGTGGTCTGTAAGTGTATTATTAGTTTATAGTGGAAAGTGCCCGAAATTTTTCCCACGTTAGGTTTCTCCGTGAACAATTCTAGTATTGTTTACTGTTTTATTTATTGTTGTGATATAACAGTGGTATTCAAAGATAGGCCAAATTGGATTGTTTGACTAATCACCTAAACATAATTAACTTGTGACATATTGCTAGTTAATTAGATTGATAATTCCGCATTTAAACCTAATCCTCCCCTCTAGGTGTAGTTGGGTCAAAGCCTGCGTTTTTCAATTGATATCAGAGCCTAATTTTGATTCCTGACCCTTATTTGATCGTCTAGATGAGTAGTTCACTGTCTGTACTGCCATATTTTGATGACAGTAATTATGCCTACTGGAAGGTTAGAATGAGAGCTTTTTTGAAATCTATAGATGAGCGTATATCGCTGAGTGTAGTGAATTGTTGGAGTGATCCTAGTACTACTGTAGAAAACATAGTTACCCCCACTCCCATTGCTAATTGAACTAGGACTAACTTAGGTGAGTGTAACTGGAATAGCAAAGCCTTACGGCATTTATGGCAGTGTCCCTTGAAGAGTTTAGGAAAGTGTCTATGTGTGAGGTAGCCAAAGAAGTTTTGGATATTTTACAAACCAACCATGAGGGAACTCAGGTTGTTAAGAACTCAAAATTGCAAATGCTGACCACTAGGTTTGAGGAGATTAGAATGAGAGAATATGAGACGTTTGATACCTTCTATGTGAGTTTTAACGACATAGTTAATTCTAGTTTCAACCTAGGAGAGAGAATCCCTGAGCCCAAGATTGTTAGAAAAATCTTTAGATCCTTACCTGAGCGATTTAGGGCTAAAATCACTGCTATTGAGGAGAGTAAGGATATAAACTCCATTAACGTAGAAGAGTTAGTTGGATCCCTCCAGACGTATGAGTTGACCTTAGATAAATCTGTTACAGATAAATCTCTTGCCTTGAAATCTGTGAGAAATACCCGGATGGAATCCTCTGATTTTGATTCACCGAATGATGAGGAGAAATCTGTGAGAAATACCCGGATGGAATCCTCTGATTTTGATTCACCGAATGATGAGGAGTTAGTTTACCTGGCTAATAAATTCTGAAAAATGTTTAGGAAGAAAAAGAATCCTCAAGAGAGATACAAAGGTGGCCCGAGTGAATCGATGAGAAATTCTAAATATTTGAGGTGCCATAATTGTCGAGGGTTTGGTCATGTTAGGAGTGAGTGCCCTAGCAGTAGGAGAAATTTGGATAAGGCTATGAATGCTACTCTCACTAATGATGAGTCTAACTCAGACAATCAGAGTGAGAAGTCCACTTGTGATGAAAGTGGAAAATATATTGCCTTTGCTACTAGAATTAGGAATGAATCTGACCAGGGGAGTGAAAAATAGAACTTAGATAGTGATAAGGATTCTGATGAAGAGTCTGAGAGTGATGAAGATTATCCAAGAGGCTTATGATAAGATGTATGAGGAGAGTCTTAAGATTCTTACTAAAAACAAAGTCTTGAGTGCGAGGAATAAGGAACTTGAGTTGGAAAATGAGAAGTTAGTAGCACACATTAAGGAATCTACCTCGATCCTGAGTGAAGTGAAATCCATGAATGAATCTTTAGATATTTAGGTTAGGAACCTCACTAGTGAACTTGAGAAGTCCTCTAGGAGAGTCAGAGAATTGACCATTGAGAGAGAGACCTTAGAAATTCAGGTTAAGAACCTTCTGAGCGATCTAGAATATTCTAAGTCTCAACTGCTTGCCTTCTCTAGTGGTTCTGAAAAGTTAGATAACATTTTAGGAATGGGCAAGCCGACTGAAAATAAGGGAGGTCTAGGTTTTAAGGATAACATTGCTAGTACTTCTAAGACCACATTTATCCCTGCCACTGACCAACCCAAACATGTGTCTAACCCCGATCTCAATGATAAGGGATTTGTTAGACAGATGTCTACTAGATAGCGTAGGAACCGCCGACCTAGGAATAGACGTCAGCATTCACATTACATTGGTCCTAGGTTTATCCCTACATGTTTTCACTATGGTGAGTTAGGACACATAAAGCCTAGGTGTCATCATTTCCTGAATAGAAATAGAAATTGGAATTTAAATAGAAATAAGAATCAGGATTATGTTGATCAGACCTTCTTACTAATCAGGTAAGTAAATTGACCAAAATCATGACACATATGAATGGAAATATTCCTGTTACTATGCAAGTTTAGATGAAGAAGAGTGGTCTGAAAAATTCAGAAATAGATCACGGTGCTCTTAAAGATAAGAGCATTTGCATACCTAACTGATTATGTATTTTTGTTTGGTGCATGCTCGTACTTTATCATTATGTGACATGGATTTATGCATACATCATATTTGTCTTTTTGTTCTGTTCTCATGCATTTTATTTTATGGTTTGTGTTTTGTTTAAGTTCTTATGTTTTAAGTGCTTGATGCATTTATATTTTTATACGGGGAAAAAAAAAACAAACTAAAACATTTTCTTTTATTTCTTTAGTTTAAGTTTTTGTTTTGAGAAAAAGAAAAATAAAGAACAAAAAGAGTTTGATTTGAAAATTAGTTTTATAGCATGATACACAATACACTTGATTTTGTTGGTATTAATCAAGAATGAGTTTATTTGGTGGGCTATAATATAATTTTCATTGCTAGCTTAGGATGCTTATGGAGTATTTAATATAGGTCTCTTCATATACTATCTACACTGTACACACTATAATCTTGACAGTGGGACTCTACCTTGTGTGTGAGATTTGGAATAGCAGTCACATGTTAGTAGGGTGACTTTGAATATGAATTGACTATTTTAATTAGACCTAAGCTCGATTTTATCCCTGCATGAATAATGTATGGTTGAAAAAAGATAATTCAAAGGGGCTCAATATGTTCATGCTACTTTTCGAAGCCTACTTGACTCAGGTGATTAAGCTTGTAGGGTTTCTCATAACCTGGTGTCTATGATCATCTGACTTGGGTTAACCGACCTAAAGCTCGTTACAGGGGTCAGGTTAGTCGCTAAATGGAAAGAAGTCTGCACTTAAGATAAAAAAAATTATATGAGCATTCCTATTTAAAGTGTGATAAAAGGAAAAATCTTTATCCTGTAAGTCAGGGGGAGAAAAAAATTGATTTGAAGTGAGCTTTAATATGTAGGTTCTAATGTTCTTTAAGGTTTGACTTTCATAAGTAGAAGAATACACTTATTAACAGTGATGTTTAGCATGTCCTTTCTCACAAAATTAAGGTATGGAGTCCTACTGCCAGAGGATTAGTGACACTTAACATATATGAATCACTTATATCATTTACTCCATGGGTGCTTTAAGTTAGAGTTGTGGGATACTTTACTGTTCACTGCATATACTTGTGATTGCTTATACCTACATTGTTGAGATGTGTAATTTTGCTCTGTTCCTTCGACATTTGTGACAAAAAGGTGGAGAGATTTTTATTGTAAGGGAGAGCTATCTAAGCAGTTACATATGTCTATAGGGATCGATGGGGTGAGACATAGATACATTTTCTACTGCTTTAACACTTAGAGTTTGCAGTAGTGGCATTACATTTGCATTGCATATCATGCACTGAGGGGGAGCGTGCGCATTNTTTCATTTCATGCATAACTGCTTGAGTTTTTCTTGATGTTTTGTGGTATTAATGTGGTTATGGTGTCTTGGTTAACATTAATACTGCATCTCAAACTAGTTTGCTTATTTCGCTGACTATGCTTCTAAGTACTTTATTGCTTATTTCCGGTATCACGTGCTTTTACACTGGTATGTGAGTTTTTTATTTCAGGATACAAGATTAACAAAGTGGAAGCTGCATTCAGTTGGTTTTGTTGGACTTGGGTAGTTTGGATAGGTTGTGTTTGTTTTGTGTTTTGTCACAGAATGTCAAATTGGGAGTTTGTTAGGTTTATATTTTGTATTGGCAATTTTGTGAACAAATTGACCAACTTGAACATTTATAAAAGTTTGGGACTAAATTGTAAAGTTTCATAGTTGGTAGGTCAGCTTAGGGTTTAGGGTTTTATGTTTGAAACAAGAAGGATCTACGCCAGATTTTTGCCAGCTGCTCGCCGGAGTGATGCTTGAGCGACTGAAACAGAAACTACCTCACTCGACTTTCTCCCCTCTGTAGCTCGAGCGACAGACCCTTCGCTCAAGCGAAGAAGTCACCTCGCTCGAGCAACATATTATTTTGGGAAACCTAATTTTCTATTTTTGAAATTTTTACTTGGCCCATACAACCTATTTCGTCCAACCTATTTATTGAAGCACCGTATTATCTGTGAATAGATTGAACACATTTTATTCCATAGAGAATACATCCTACATCAAATCAAAAATTCAATCGTTCAATTCATATGTGCTTCTTTCATAGAAAACATCTAAGCCATCAAATCAAACACTAAATTGGTTTCTTCGCTTGGGTCTGCTGCGAGATT